GCATAAGTTAGCCTGGAAAGCCTTTTGTTATTTGATGTAAGAGAGGTGAACAGCACATCTTAACTCTTGGATCCGAAGTTCTCTGGAGTGATGCCTGCAAGCAAAGCTGAATTTCTTCCACAGAAATCTGGATGCATTTTGTATGAAATTTGGTGAGATGCATGAAACATGGAACAATAATTTAATATTTATAAAAAGCTTTCTGAAATGGACAGCCAGATGACGTACACTATTGTCAATACGGTCCATTTTTTGATAGGCAGTCATTTTCTGTCCTCCAGGCTTACTCCATTTGGCACATGGGAGTGGACGAGCAAAGTGCTTCCTCGCTTGTACTCAGCTGCAGGGCAAAGGAATGTGCCCTGGCTTCTAAGTGGTACCAGAAGTAGCAAAACCTGCAGGCCTCCTGCCTTTCCTTAACCCCTTACCCAGCCCCTGTTGCTGCCTTCATGGCTGGAGCAGGAAGGGGGAGAGAAAATGACAAAAGAGTATTCCTGTTCCTCCTCTGCCTCCTTTCTTTTCTTCTTCCTCTTGCGGAGGTGATTTCTGCTTCTGCATGTTTTGTAGTCCCTGTGACAGGCCAGGTAATAAAGCAGGAAACTTTTTCTGCTGCTCTGTCCCAGAGGAGATCCCATCACTGCCGTGGGAAGGTTTGCTTTTTCCTCTTGGGCCTGACATGCACCGCTGTCCTGAAAGAGGTATTTTCTCTCTCAGCATTGAAGAGATTAGGTTGCTGTGTTATAAATGGGAAATCAGATTTTCTTTGTGCTGTTTGCTCTGTCTGAACTGCCTTTAAGCCCAGTAAGCTGAACTCAGCCTGTAGCAGTTGTAACTTAGTGAACTCGGTATTGTTCCTGTTAGAGTTACTTCTGATCCGAATGGGAGTTATCTCCATGTCTGGGATGCTTCAGAGTAATGCAGGCTTCTGCCAGCACTGAAAGATGTTGAACGGCGTGTGTTGGCATTTGTGGAACCAAGAACAGAAATGCAAATCTCGAGGACATGCACTGTGTTTTAGTAAAGCCATGGTTGTTGATTATCTGGTACAAATGAATATATGTAAATTGGGAAGGTATTGTTTTCATTACCTTGTATTTAGTCATAATAAAGTCTACAGTGATAATAAAACTACAGTTTAGTCTGCCATCTAAACTAAAACACCTTTTTGGGGTGAGGGTCAAAGTACCTAATTATGATTTGAATATTTCCAGTAGTAGAAAATCCACTACGGTCTGGGCACAGTGTTATAGTGCTTAACTGCCTCTGCTTTAATGAATGCCTGTTGCATTTTTGATCCTCTTCTGTATGCTTTAAGGAAGATTTTGTTTGCCCTTTTTTAAATAAGGCAAAAAGGCAGATACTACGAGTTTCTCAAGCCCCGAATTATCCGAGAATTTTTCCTAATCTTTCACTCTGGCTAATGACTCTTCCCTGATGTCTTTTATTCTATTTTTCTGCATATTTGAACATTCTTCTTTGGGGACATCAGGACAGAAAACAGCAGTGCAATGGGAATTATTCTTGTCAATTACAGACATCATAAAACCTTTCTTTTCCAGTTTGGTAATTCCCTAATCTCTGAAGCAGACATCAGCCCTCTGAGGCTATGACTGATCCTTACCGGTGCCCCGTGAAAATTTGGCTACCGTGCTCACATGCATTTTCAGAGGCATTATTTTCCAGGGCAGAAAATACCATCATCTTCTTAGTTTCTAGATGGAAATTGTGTGCACCCTTGGCTTTCTTGTTATGTCTACCATTTCCTGTGCTTAGAGCAGTCAACATAGCCTGCGTCTTGCTTTCTGCGACCTTCTCTCCAGGAAACCCAGTTCCCATCCAGTCACTTGAAACAGGGTTATCTTCTGTAGACTTGTTCAAGGGCATCTATTCCAAATCGTATTGCTGTGCTGCTAGACACCTAGTAATGTGTCAGCAAGCTGTCCTCTTCATTATTTATCAGTATTCGTTCTCTGTTGCTGATGATCTTGGGCGTCTGTGGGACGGGTGCTGTTAAATGTCAGACAGCATGGGCAGGTCCCATGGGATCACATTAGAAATGCATCACTTGATGAAACGATGAAAGCTCCTTGTTTACAGGTATATCCTGGAACTCATAAATCAAACAAAGTTATACAATTTGAAAAGTGCTTTGTTGATATTGGATTGTTCTAACGGATTAAGCAAAATGTCCTACAGTGCCAAACAGAGTATATTCCAGCAGACTAAGAATATTACATAAAGACATACTGTTTTAAACCCAGTATAAAAACAGTAACTCTATTGTCTGTGGACCTGTTGATTGGCATTCATTGTGTAATTTAATTTAATTGTTCATAATCAAATCTCTCATCAGCTATTTCACTACATAAAAATTATTTTTCTTCACAAAATCTACTTCAGGCTGACAGGCCTGTAATTATTTAGGGCATCCAGTTTGTCTTTTGTAAATATTGACGTAGCACATCCATTCTTTCTGTTCTTGCGAACTTTTCCAGTTTTAGTTTTTCAAACCTTAGTGACAATAAGCATCACCAGTGTAGCCAGTACCTCTGCCATCTCTTTCAGCGTACTTACATCCAATTTATCCAGCTTTGCTGATGCAAAAGTGTCCAATTAATAGTTACTGTTTAACATCTTATTGAGTTACTGTTGGAATGGAGACTATTTCATCATCATAATTAAGAATGTTACATGCTTTTTCTCAGACAGATGGGTGCATTAAACTTCTCCTGCTTCTCTGTTACTGTCAGCAATCCTATAATTTCCATCTAAGAATGGATTTTTTTTTTTTCACCAGAAGAGGACACTTTAAAAACTGTTTAACAATTCTAGCTACTCTTTTTTTTTTTTTTTTTTTTTTTTTTTGCAACTTACATGATTTTTTTTTCAGTATTAATTCTCAATCAGAAATCATCTTATGTTGAGGGGACAACTGATACCCTGTTAAGAGAGAAAATTTTAGTCAGGGTGCCACAGATGAAGTAATATCCTTTGCCTGAGAAAAATGAAATAGCCTAACTCATTTTCTATATAAGCATCCTATTGATAGCTATTTCTTCACTACAGGAAGGATTTATTTCTCCTAAATCTAAACGTAGAAGTAGTACACCAGTGACCTCAGATCTTCATTTTAGAATAAGAAGACTTGCTTTTGGAGGTGCCTATTTCTGATTAAGGGCTCTAAAGTAATTCCTTCTTAGGTTTCTGATTCATGGGTGACTTAGGGTAGGTGCAAAGCTGATCATCCTTTTTCAGATACAAAAAGGGAGAACTACCAAGAGAAGCATCATCTAGATTTCAGTTCCCAAATTCTGCTTTTCTAAAATCAAGATATAAAAAGTGGCTTTTTACAGATAGCATTTGCCTTTGTCTCTCATTCACTGGTGACTTCAAGTTAAAAAGGGAATGTAGCTTCTAAAAGAAAGGTAATAATTAGTATATACCACACTGGACATCTGAAAGTTAATTTCTTTTTGTTCCTAATGTGTTCTCCAGGTTGAATTTGATAGTCTAGCAGCCTGCAGATTAATATCTGTTCCCAGATCTGTTGAAGAGAGAGAATGATTAATGTGGTCGGCACTTTCTAATTGGAACTGTATGAAAACAGAGTCTTTTTAGCTTTCCAGTACATCTGTATTTTTGTCTACCAAGTATAGAAAATAGAGAGAAGGCTGTGACTCGCTTTTGTGGGTTCTGCAAAGCAAGTATATTTGAGCATCCTCTGAAGAGCTGTTTTAACAAGAAAGGGGGGTAGAGTGACTGCAGAGGACTTCTGGGAGAGATTTTTGATCTTAAAGATACCACTGAAAGAGAAATACGCAAGAGAAGCTACGCAGCAAAAATAGAATAAGGCTAGAGGGCAAAATCTTTGGGTGATCTTTGAAGCAATGCAAAATTTAATGTTGATGTCTTGGATGTTTTGATAATGGATTGTTTTGTTTAAGAAGTTCCAGGACCACCATACCTGTAACATCTCTGCAGATTTCTGGTGGCTGACTGCACCTGTGGTTTCTGAAGGGTCATTCACATTTTGATAGAATTTGTTTAACAAAAACAAAAACCCAAACCACCATCAGCAAACCAAAACCTTCTGAGTTTGTAATTATAGATTTCACAATCGTTCTTACCTTTTTTAAGTTATCGTCAACATTTGCCAACTGTCACCCGCAACTGCATATTACTAAATATGGTAACAGGTAACCTGCTTTTATTGCGGTGTAATCTGTGAGACGTGAATAAATATGTGTTGTAATTACATATTACAATTGTAATTATGTGTTGCCTTATTATTGGAGTGATTTTGGGCAACCTGGTGTAGTGGAGGGTTTCCCTGCCCATGGCAGGGGTTTTGGAACTAGATGATCTTTGAGGTCCCTTCCAACCCGAACCATTCTATGATTATGTAGGTATTTCCACCCTGCAAAACAGTGCTGACTTGTTTGTTTCTTACAATGGAATGGTCCAATTTGTCTCCACTATATTTACATATTAATTTTCAGTAGTTTCTTCATTATGATTATTCCTTGTGAGATGTGTTCTTTTAACAAAATCCGTAATCTCTTTTCTTCAAATAATGTGTGTCAGTTTCTAGGGGAACCAAATCTGTTGTTAACTGGAAGGGTGCTGTTGGAGTGGAATTCTCAAGCATAACCCTTAAAACTTACCAGACAGACTTATTTTCTTTCAGTGGGAGAGTCAGTGATGCAAATAAATCAGTGGGCTTCTTTTTTACTAAATTCTTCATCATACCAAGATTGTGATTGAAATGAATTGGCCATGTCACCAACTTCCTGGCAACTCTTTTTTTTTTTTTTTTGTTAAGCAGCTGAATGAAGTATCTTTTTATTACTATCGCATGGTTTATCCACAAGCTTTACTTTAAACGGAGGTATGATTTGAGTCTATAGCATTTGATAGGAACAGATTTGCTACGCCAGAATTAGAAAAATTAGGGATTGTTGTGCCTGCAACACTGGGTGCACGGTCTGTGTTGCCTTGTAATGTTTGTGTGTCTGAGAATCGACAGCTTCTCGGGGTGCGAGCAGGTTTATTTATGGCTGTACTCCGAAAAGGACTGGGAAACGGCAAAGGGACTGTGTCAGTGTCCACGGCGGGTACGGCTGCCCTGGTGTGGAAGCAGAAGGGGGCATGGTGCGCCTGCCTGGGGACCCCCACACAGTGCCGCTCCGGCGGGCGCCCGTGTGCTCCGCAGACGTGTCGTGGGAAAAACACGGCCTCCTGGTTTACGTTATGTAGGATTATGGAATCGCTGGAGGAGTTCACTGGTGCGGGTGGGTTCCCTGGGACTG